GCGCAGCAGGAGCGGCGCCGCCGCCTCCTCGCCTGCCTCCGTGAGTGCCGCCGCGCCGGGGCCGCGCGGGGCGCCCGCGGCGGCAGTGACGCCCTCTCTCTCCGCAGGAGTCACCCGGGACGTGGCGTGCGAGGAGTCGCAGGAGATCGGCCTCGAGGGAGCCCTGCTCGGCTGGTGCGTGACTTGGCCAGCGTTTGCCGTTGTTTGGAGAGGGGAGCCCCCGAGCAAGGCGGGAAAACTGGGCTTTTCTTAACTCCTTTAAATGCCTTGTCTTCCGCTCCTGCCTCGTAAAGCAGACATGCTGTAAAGTGTGTGCTTTTATAAGCTGAAAGTGAGTAACTTCTGCTGTCCCGCTCGTTAGCCAATGAGTCAGAGATAACTTTGGTAAATCTGGGCTATTTTGAGGAGAAAAAAGTAAGATATTACTTACAAAGTTTGAAGTAAAAGCTACCTGTTTGCAAATTTGTTGAGAAACAGCAGAATAAGTGTTGTGTTTGAATGTTGTTTAGAAAGTAATTTCACAACCCACAAGGGTTAGAATTTATTTAAAATAAAGATTTACATTTTTTTTCTCTGCATGAGACCTTTTTTTTCATCTACCTATACATGCAGTGGCTTGGGCACAGACATATTGTACTTTTTTACTGGTTAAGTCATATCTGACTAGTATAGCTTAAATTCCGTGGTGATGATGAGCCTTGTATGTTCTTCCCTGATAGCAATTTCAGTTATTACAGAAATTGCTTCTTACACAACATTCCCAACTTCTCACGTGCCCTTTCTCTCTATGGTTGTTTATATACAAAGAAAAGTAAAATTATATGTTTTGTTTGCTGTTCTGGTAAAACTGATCTGATGTCCTGATTAACTAGCAGTAGCTATGGTTTTAAAAGCTTTCAATTAAACGTATTGTTTTCCCTTTCTCCTGTCAGCACTTTCAACAAGTTATCCTGCCGCTCATGTGGCTTGAGTGTGGGCTTCGTTCTGTATTCCGCTTTCAGTGATCTGGCTTATCTGCGAGGCTTCTTCTGTTTCTTCAAGGACAGCATCCTTTGGTGAGTGTGCTCTTCTATTACGTAAATGACTTCACAGGAGTTTGCAAACAATTAAAACAGAGGTGTTTTACCTTTGACTGAATGCGTTGGTGCACGCGTTTTAATGTTCTTTCTATTAAAATTGCTCACATTGGCACAATTCCATTTGATTTGCCTTACACTTTTAATGTGTCCTGCTGTAACTTCAAGAATTTCATTTTATTGTTTGCAGTTTGAAATCTACTTCCCCTCCAGATCCACTTGAGTAATGTTCCATGCTAGACTGAAGATTTGATAAAAGAAACTATAAATTACATTCAGATGATGATGACAGATCTTAAGTTTTTAAAGTAAAACTATTGTTGTCTTAAATATTTTCGTATGTGACCACTTTTGACAACACTTCTAGGACTTGCTTTAAAATCACGTTAAATAATCTGTTTAAACAATGGATGCAACCATATAATTTAAGAAGTGTTCCTTTCTTGTATTTCCCCTTTCCTTGCTTGTCTTTCAGTTACCTCTTAAAAAATAAAATGGTAATAGAAGCCTCTAAAGTAAAATTTCCTGCTTTGGGCCTACAGGAAGAACTCAAAAAAGTAAGGTTTTCTACATGACTTTGTATGTGTATGCCACCTGTTTTTCCACTCTCTTCTTTTACACTCCTCTCAAAGCACATATTCCATCCTAAGCAAAACATAATATGGCAGATGACTATTTTTAGGTGTACTTTTAAACAAAGATGAAACAGTCTGTCCAGATCTTATAAAAAATAAAAAAAATCCTCCAACTTTCCAAACTTGTAATGCGTTAAATTGGAAAAAAAAAGTATGTGGTCTAGCTGCTTACTTAAGTGAAAAATTTCCATGCATCTGCAAAAGGGGTTGTGCTGATACATGTTGATCTCATGTAACACAGGCCTCCAGTCTGGGTGCTAATTTTGGCTATGCTAAACGGTATGCAGTATAGAAATACCATATTAGATACTAATGATAAAATAGAGCCCAATATCATTTTCCATCTTCAAAGTCAGCTGTGTCTAGCTGCTGAAGGCGGAGTGTACATCTTTCAAGAATCTAATGGTACAACAACATTTTTCTTTTTTTTTTTTTTTTCTTCTGTTTTCCTGGGTTTTTTCCTCTTTCCTAGCTAAAAGAAAAGTTTCTGATGGTCCACACGCGCCTGGAATTGCTGACGAAGAAGCTGGAGGAACTGAACCGAAAGAATAATGTGGCAGAAAAGCAAAGCGCTGCATCAGATGCAGGTGGCCTCACGCCAGGATATGCAGAAGTCAAGAACAACAAATAATTTGCCATTTTAAAGACCTACTGGAGTGGTTTCTGCATTTTTGCAGGGTTTGCTCATTATGATGAAATAATGCATCAGAAAAGGTCAGCGTCTTAATCTGTCACTTATCTGTAGATAGAAGGAACTTACGCTGAAGTGCTTCTCTGCAGCCTAGGGGGAACACGTGAAAATCTTAACATCCTGAAACCGTGCTGTGAAAAACAAATAGGTTACTTATACAGCACACTACTCTCTGAGGCAACAGTAGTACTGCTGTGGTTCTCCCTAACAACTTCAGGGAAAAGCTGCTTTTGAAAAGTTCAACTCAGGAGTTTTGGGAACTGTATAAAACATATCAATAAGGTGATAACCAAGAGGAACCATTATAAATTAAGTCTTACAGAGGTCTATAATTTTGGTCTTTTCGCATAGATACCACGTTTATAGAAGCTAGCTGTTGGTGAAGTGGCTGTTAGCTGCATCAGGTATGGGTAGCACTGCTAAACAGTGTCCTGATAGTTGTTTCAAACACCTTCTGTGGTGTATGGAGCTGGCTGCACGCAGATGTGCAGCCGCAGGAGGCACACTGCTGCCTGGAGCACTAAGTCTCACACTACAGGTGCCTACCAAGCTCCACAGCTGTGCTGCGCTGGCTTGCTTTCTGCTCTGGCAGCCTCAGACTATGGGCAGCTGCCTCTAACAGATTTGAGCCCATCTCTCTCAGGTTGAAGCCATTAAATTTAAGGAAAGCTCTTTTCTCCTCCCTTCTCCTCTGCTCAGTCGTGAACATGTAGCTCTGCTGAAATTGTGCTGGTCCAGCTGCTGTCTTTGGCCAGTCAAGATGTCAAAATAGCAGAAGGCTGCTCATGAGCATTTCTGTTAGTTTTGCATAGGTTCTGGTCCCCTCCAGACATTTAGAAGCTCATCTGTTGGAAAGAATGCTACTTGCTATTGGGACCAAATATTTTAGTGCTTAATTCCTGTGAGATGAAAGATTAAGGGATCTTTTTCCCTCCTTCCCACTGCCTTAAAGTTTGTATTGCTTGTAATAGGCCAGAGGCATACATTTTCTTCATTGACTTAATTCTGGTGATGTGATTTGCCCTCCCCTACTTTCGTTTCCATGTAGAAATGGCAGACTGTACTCCCTGTATCAAGGTTTGGTTGTTTTGATCTATTTGTAAAATAATTCTTAGGGGAGGTGATGAAACTCACTGCAGGGCACCCCAGGGGTTTAAGTGAGCAGCTGGTACTTATCCTACTATTTATGTACAGCGTGCTGCTTTTGGTTAACAGTTCCTGTTTGTTCTGGTTGAAATATGACACAGAATATCAACAGCTATCCTACTGGAAGAGGAGCAAGGCTCCTTCAGTTAAATTAAAGTACTATATGCTACCTGAATGACTGTTATTGCTAGTTTTAGGTTTTTGAGTGCAGAAATGCAGTGCTTTTCAATAACAGCTAAACTGAAGATAGCAAAAGTAACTACTTGCAATAAACATTACACTCCTGTGAGACATTTCATTCTCTGTAATGATAAATGTTATCCTCTCTCAAAAGAGCTCGAGCACCCTTATCCAAGGAACTGTTCTTTTTAGAGTTGCCAGTGTATATTCATGTAAGGCTGGAATTGCTGTATTTGATTACTTCCTTGTTGAGAACAAGGGTTATTATTATTATTTTTTTAATAAAGATATGTTGTGCAGTGACTTCTGCACTATGTTTAAGGGCCCACTGGTATTTAACTGGAGTCTTGTGACAAAACTCATTTCGTACATTCCCCATCTCAGGTGAACATTTTCAGCTGTATTATCTCACTTTTATCTTACTTTTTAAGAGACAGCCCTTTTGCTGCATCATTCTAAAAAATATAATCGATAATGGAGCTATTTACTTTTGCCCTTACATTCTGATTCCTGCATTGGCTTTGGTTTTTACTATATACATCTACTCTCTGTAAGGTAAGTAGTGGTGAAGTGTCTTGCTTCATGTTTAATATTATAGATGCAGGAATCATACTGAACTGAATTTAGTTAAGTGTCCTTAAGTGGAAAAAGCTGTCAGTTATTTGTTGTGATTTTTACCTTTACTATCGTAAATAAGAAACTTTTCTTAATTTAAAAAAACAGAAATATCTATTATACAGATTACATATACTACCCTATGAGTCTTGAGTTGATTTCTTTTACTTAGACTATAAGATGTTTGCAGCATAAACCCATCAATTTACATTGTAGATGCAGATATTGGTGGCTTATGAGACACTAACATTAATGATCATTCCTTGCATTAATACCTGACTTGCTTGGCATGATTTTAAGCATTTAATATGTGCTTCTTAAATAGCAACTGACAAACTTTCTCATGTTAAAGTACATTTCACTAACCTCTGAAACTGGAAATACCTGACATCTGTTGAGTCTTCTCTGTCTATTTGTCAAACTGCATTTCCTCAGCACCGGCCTGATGTTCCTGTGGGCACTAACAGCAGAACAATGCTGAAACTGAATTCTTGTTTAACAAACAAACCACCTTAATTTATGAAATGTAAAGTAAATGCAATTCTATTCTCAATAGTGTGAGGTAAACATTTACTGAGCTATCACATTAAGGGTGCATTTTGAATTACATGGTGCCTGATCTTTTCCTGCTACAGATTTGGTTTCAGATCCACATCTGGCCCATATTTATATTTCTCTTAAATTACAATTGGTCAGTGAATATTTATTTTCACAGTGGAACCTAATTTCTAGTTAGGCAGTATGAGAAAGGTGTTCTTACTTTCTAATGCAGCCGAACCAATTTGACTCAGGAAGGACAGATTCTACTTACATGAATGCCAGCTGCTTAAAAAGCAAGTCTTGAGGTCAGGCCACAGCTGTTTTTTATTCTCATGTTTGCAAACCTGCAGCTGACTTCTCTGGAACTATCCCTAAAGACAAAAGGGAGCGGGTTCTTGAAGCAACAGTTCTGCTGCATGTCCTTCACGGGCCAGCGGGAGGGGACCAATGCAGAGCAGCAGGGGTGGAAGGCACAGCCCCCTCAACACCCACGAGGTGACCAAGACACTGCTGCTGCGTTACAGCAATCCTGAAAACTCTTCTTGGCAGCAACTGCGGGGCAAGTTGTTCTCGGCTCTAGGCAGGGCGAATTCTGGGGAAATACAACTGACAAAACAATAAATAACATGTGAAGTGTTTTTTATTTCCCAGGAACTTACTACTGTTTAGTCAAACTTTTATATATACAGAAGTTTTCTACTACCATCTAAAAGAATCCTTAAACCTTTTATTTGGTACATTGACCATCTTAATATGATTAAGTGACAATCTTCCTTAGCTGCCTCCAAGAAGTCAAAAGAAGTCTTCTGCCTGAAGTTTCCTGGAACAGCTGGACTGAAAGCAGGGTTCATTAGTCCAAATTGCTAAAGTTTGACAAAGTTACAGAAAGTGGCTATGTGTCTTAGAAGCAGTCACTATCTCCATAAAGATGCAGTGTGTAGCAACTTGGTTAATTTTTCTTTTGAACAAATGACACATCAAGTTTTTAGTGCATTCTCAGCCTGTGCTGCTTTATTGCTTAAAAAAAAAATTGTATACAGGTGCAGAGTTTCCAAGCTCATTTTTAAACAGTTCCTCTTTACATTGTCAAAAGAATAAAATCTTGTCTTGAAATTCCCCGAAGATGCATAGATATAAAAGCAAGCTGCCTTTTGGAAAAACTTCAGAATTCACGGGGAGATATTCTTTTACTGTTACCATGTAAAATATGTGTGCAATGGCAATACACAGTTCATAGTGATACCAGTAATTTCCTCCACTCATTCATGTGAGCATGCCCTCAGAAGCCCCCTATAAGAAGCATTCTCTAACCTGTTTTTAAGTATTAACACAACTGTTTAAAAAGCTGCTACTTCTAATAGTTCTCTGCTGCTCTATCCTACTTTTGAAAAGGAGAGCTTCACTGTTGTCCTAAAGTACCTCTTTTCCCCTGATTTTGTACTGAAGGGGATAAGCATTAAGAATGGAAACAACTACATTTCACATGAAAGAATATGTATTTTTTTGAGGTTTAAGACCATGTGAAGCATTCTATAGAATATCAGCTAGATTTTAGATGGCCATGGTTAACCACTAGGCTAAACTTGTTTTACAGTTTCCCTTTTTGCTTGAAGTTGTCTCAAAGCATTCATTTAATCTAGTTTCTAATACTACAAAGCAGTTATCTTTTCATATTCCTATTTTCATTTGGCAATTTTTGTGTATCGGTAGGAAGAGCATTCATGAGGAAAACACGGGCCCTGTTCTAAATCCAAATCATGGTGTTTTGTAGATGGTGGCTAAAATGTGTGAATGGGAGTTAACTTGACGCACAATTTCTTCTCCCAAGATCTCACTCTACTTAAGAAGGCTGAGCCTCAAATACACAGAAGAGTATTTGCACAAGTTAAACCCACCTATAAAACTAAGCTAAGCTTAAGTATGGAATCTGCAGTGGCCAAACTACTATTCTACTTGTCTGAACACTTCAGACTAGGAAAAGCATTAGCAAAAGACAGGCTATGCCACAGGTTCTACGATATTTTGCATACTGCTAGCTGAAATTCACTGCATCACCCACTAAAAGACTTGGGAAATAATACTGAGTATACACTGAAAGTTTACAGAAAGATGGCACCCAATTTCCCTTTTATTTAATAAGTGAAATAAAGAAAAAACCCTATATTGCAACCTGTGTTGCAAAGATAAAGACCTCCAGTGATCAAATCTCATTTTCTGTTTTTAAAAATCTCTTTGTCAAAGAACTTAAAAGTGTACAAGACAACCAGCATTTTCAGGTTCATTCCTGCAGATGCCATTATTGCTGGCTGATACCAGTATGCTTCAGTACAGCTGCCTGTGTGGCTAGAGTTACCTGAAAATACTGTCTATTAAAAAACTATTCAACACCTGAAATATATGTACTGTGCTTATTGATTTCAGTCTTCTCCAAATAATTTCTTTTACCACACCCAAGCCTT